GGTAGTTGCCAGTCTGCACTGGCTGGAAGATGGAATTCGGAGGAGGCCTAATCGATGTGATCGAATCGGTCTAGTGGAGGTAATTGGCAGTAGGCTTACCTCGTCTGCGCACTGTCATCATTTTCCATAAGCGTAGGATGGGGTCTGAAAACTAATTCTATTTCACTTGCGCCATCCAGTACTGGGTCTATGGCAACTGTTGTATTGTTATTGTCCAGTTCAAGCCCAGAATCGTCAGAGGTTTTGGTCCTTTTGTTACTTGGTCCAGCCTCCTGATTGCTGTGGGTTGAAGCATTGCTGCAATGCGAACTGTCGCCATTGTCTTCTGCTCCGCTGCCATTCTCTATTTGTTGCTTCTTTCCTCTCTGTAACCTAGTTAGTACAATCAAGAAACAATCCAAGTTATTCATTTTTAGAGTCTTTGTGTCAACTAGCAGATTTTGTCCAATCCATGCTATAATTATTTTGTCATTAAAAACAACATACAACCCATCACCCACCATTTAGTCTATATAAGATAGATACTATGCTACATAATATAAAAAACTGCCCAACATCTCTATATAATATTCAGCATTCTAGTTCCACTGCTGTTTTGAATTCAGTTCTGAAATGTAATAACAACGTGTCCTTTTATGGATGCAAAGTTGTGAAATTCTCTTTTAAGAATCAACAACTTCCAGCTGAATTACAATGATATCAAAGCTGATTCTCTAAATTATAAAATACTTTGGGGGGGGGGGCAGTAGTAAGTCAGCTCATAATGTACAAAAGAACAAGTGTGGAAGCTGATGCCAAGGTAGTATATACAATCAACCCTGTTTTTCCTTTTATTTGTGCAGGAATATTCGAAGGATATAAATACAAGTCTTTAGTATATCCTACACTTAAAGACTAGTTGGCTAAGATTCAAAACATATTACCTTAAATTATTAAAAAAAATACAGTATTTTCCCCATAAAGGAGGGTATATTTCAATTCAATCAGGAGAAAATGTGGATTAGATTAATTCTAAAGCATATAGCGATAGAATGAAATGATTTTTCCAATTTGGGAGAGGGCTATGTAAATAAACATCAAATAGATCTCCTATGGATATAAATTTATTTATTTTCACTTATTTAGTCTGTCACTCATGTACAAGATAACAAGAATCAGAATAAACAGGAATAAGAACACAGGAAATGAATAAAAATAAACGGGGACATTAGGAAAGGGACGTTAGATATGCTGGTGCATTTAAGCACGCCCCTACCTAGATGGTAGGAAAAATACAATAGTTCCATGAAATAGCATTTTATCTTCAAGGAGCTTATACTGTAAGTAGCAGGCAAAAAAATTATCTAGCTGTAGTTTTAAAACAGTGGTAGTATTAATGCTGAATACCAATGCATTACATTCTTCTTCTGCCATGAGGAAATTCATTTTGCTTTTGTGGTCAATTTTGCATCATACACAGTTTTCAAATTAAAGGAAAAATAAGCAGGAATTTATTTCAAAATGTAAGCTTTTCAATTATTTCAAATAAATATACATTTGACACTATCCAATATAGCTCTGAGACACTGGTGTATTCAATCCAGTAATGAGTATTTCAAATAGAAGCAATTATATAGCTTTCTGGTTCACAACATTTTCTTTCTATTCTTTCTTTTTATGATGAGGTCTGAAGACGGAGATTGATCTTCATGCAAATAAGCATGCGGACAATCACCCAACTAGAGAATTCTGTATATCTTTTCACTATAATTTTTTACCGGTTCAAGGCTTGGATTTTCAGGCCCTCCTCAATGCTGTGGCTCAAAGCCTGCTGATTATTGTGCTTGCTGATCCTTGCTAAAACTCTCTCCTGGTGAGCCTCATATTCATCACGACTTGGGTAAATTTTACTGATGAGGGCATCAAAATTTGGATCTGGTCTCAAAGATCTTTTGGAAACAAGCTTTTTACGACAAGTAGGGCATTCTTTGTTTCTGAGAATAAAAAAAAAAGAATTACGAAAATATGTTGTTATCTAATTCTAAAAAATTGTATAATTACTGGATAGTTAGCACATCTTTGCAATTTCTTTCGAAATACTTAACTATTAGTCAGAGGGGCAACAGTTATTTGTTAATTTTTCACATCTGAGAATCTGAATTCTTGAAGGTTAACAAATTTGTTATACTCCATAATGACATTATAAGGTTTGTACATAATTGACAAAGACATAGCGGTTAAAGAGCACGAGGCAGTATAGACTTCAATAGAATGATTTGATCAATCCTCACTGACCCTCATTGCTCTTAGTCCTGTGTATTATTTGATCACAACTTTGACAGTGCAAGGAACCTCATATTCTTTATCTATCCACTTTTTCAAAAATTGAAAAAAGTAAATTATTACTTGGAGTCAGTGTATTATGCTGGATACAAATCTTGATTTGAAGGCTCTGCTTGGATATAAGATGCTCCGGATGGCCTTGGATCAGTTATTGCTCCAGCAAATCTCTCTTAAGCCAATAAAGGTAAATATTTGGGGCTCAGTGTTGAAATGAAGGATCCTTGGTGCTCTCTGAGTTTGGTTTTCTTGCAAATGTTTCATTACCCAACCTAGGTAACATCATCAGTGATGATGATGTTAACTAGTTTGGGTAATGAAATGTCTGCAAGGAAACAATCACATCAGAGAGCACCAAGGACCCCCATCTCACAAGATTAAGTAGGATAGCAAAAAAAAATACTCATCTCATTCTGATTGCAAATTCTTTATAACCTTCTTTGGGTCTCAAATGTGGCCAGCCACACATAATAGGTGACAGGAGACAATTTCAGAGAAGAAAGAAAGCAAAAGAATTCCTTTGTGATTGAGCTGTGACAGCAACAAGCAGAGTATAGTAATCCTTCTGAGATCAGTAAAATGAGGATCCAGATTTTTGAGGGCAATATGCTGACTCTATAAACTGCTAAGAGAGGGCTGTAAAGCACCATGAAGAGATATATTAGTGTATATAATCCCAAATATCATTAAATGTTGGTAGAAATCTGCTTTTTTTGCCTTTCCTATACACTCACATTTCTTGTTGAAATAAGAAGCACCTAGTTTTTTTTAATAATTACTCTTAAAATTTCCACCCCAAATCACATACTCCAGCATGGGGCAAAAAAACAGTAGCCTTATCCATATCTGAAACATTCATGCATCACTGTATCCCATGCAGTTTCAACTCCAAAAAGCCTTTTGAATCACTGGTTTACACTATGAACAGAATTCCAAGATATAATTCAGTGCTGTAACAATGATGGGGAGGAGGGGTGGCGTTGGTTAATCAACTTACCCACTTCTAAGGGCTGTGATAATGCAATCGGCACAAAATCGATGTAGGCATTCCTTAGTAGTCATGGTATTTTTCAGCATATCCAAACAAATGGGACACATTAGCTCACTGTGGAGACTTCGGGGTGACACCACTATCTCCAGGCCATCTGTTATAGCTTCCTAATGATCAAAATAGTGTTTTCAAGAAGTTATTTCCTTGCTCCATTGAAGTTAATATTTACAAATGCTACATTTTTATTACTGTTATTAATACAGTTATATTACTTTTCCTTCTACCTAATTTCTTTTGGTACAAACTATTTGTGGTGTGGAAGTTCACACTCAATACAATACAATGATACAAAGAAGAAAGTAACTATGATACCTGAGGTGTTCTTTGAAGTTCATATAAGCTGAGTTCCCATGTTTTGCTCAATGGTTGCGTGCCATTTGTCTGTACAGCCTGAGACATGACTAAAAAAAGAAAAAGAAACACCATCATCATCTTTTTATCCTACCTTTTAGATATTCATATAAAACTCAAGATGGCAAACATCCCCAATATTCCTGCTTCTTATTTTCCCCACAACAACCTTGTGAGATGAATTGGCCTGAGAGAGAATGACCAGCCCAAAATCACCAAGCAGTTTTCCTAATTTTAATAAGCCATGTAGATTGAATAGATCGGACGTAAGCATAAGAACAGTCCTGCTAGAGAGCAGGATAAGATCCATTCTTATAGTGATTAATGAAATACCTCTAGGGTACTCCCAAGTAGGAGACAGATACCACCACTGTTCACCTAAAATTGGAATCAAACTGCCTCCACAAAGATAACAATGAGTCTTCAACCTTACTGGTTTTTAACTCATGAATATTAACCATGAATCTAGCCAATCACTTTTAAAAGCATTCAAGTAAGTGGCCATTACCATGTTTTGTGGTAATCAATTCCATTATTTGGTTAATTATACACAGTGTGAAGTACTATATTTTTTTTTGAATATTGGTTTCAATTGGTTTCCTTGGATGACTACAGGTCATAAAGTTTTCAAACAGTGTGAAATATTTCTCCCTGTCGACTTCTACACTATCCATCAGACAATATCCAAACACAAGGCCTGTGGGCGGGATCCAGCCCATGATGGGCCCAGAGATGGCAAGGGACCGGCTGCCACCACCCTGGCATGCACACGGGTTCCGCAGCCCACGCAGGAGGGGTCCAAGAGCCGCAACTGCCGGCCCGGCTCTCCCAGCAGCAGGCTGCAGCAGAGATGGAGGGGTGGGGGCAAAAACATGTGATCCACCCTGCTGGACACACTGGGCAGTTGCCCACTCACTATTTGTTTTGGCTTGCCCACAGCCGCCACGGCTGGTTTGGGGCAGGTGGCCACCTGAATTACGTGCCTTGCCCTGCACCTCTGCCTGTCCTGTTTTTACCTGCAGCCGCCACAGCTGGGACAGCTGCGCGGACACCTAGCAGGCCAAATTGCATGCCTTCCCCTGTGACTATGTCACCTGCTGCTGGTGCCGCCACCATGGGGCTTGGCCCCTGCCATCCAAACCTCCTTCTCCAGCTCTGCCGCACACGAGATGAGCTTCCTGCCTGCTGCCCCACCCACGATGGCCCCGGAGAACAGGAAGGATGGAGAGCCCCCGTCCCCAAGAGACAGCCGGGACTCCCCGGCTCCTCCCCACTCTTCCCTGCCCAATTCCCTTCACATTCCTTTCTATTAAATATACTTGTACAACAGGACAAACTATTGTTGTATTCTAAGTTCAAGGAAGACTAGGACTAAGACTTCCATAGCTGGGATGCAATAATCTGGATGCCTTCTAGATCAGGGGTCCCCACCCCAGACTGGTCCTGGTCCCTGGCCTGTTTGGAACCAGCCCATGCAAGCAAGCAAAGCGTCATCTGCGCACATGTGGGATTTCAGTAGCACACAACTACCTCCATCCCTGATCCAGGGAAAACTTTCTTTCATGAAACTGGTCCCTGGTGCCAAAAAGGTTGGGGACCACCATTCTAGATGGCAAGAGATATAATATCTTCTCTTTGTTGTCACCACAGGGCCTTCTTGATTTCTTCATGCCAAGAGGCTTGTTCTGAGGTCCCACTGCTTCTTATGGTTGAAACTCTTGGGATTGTTTTTGAGTTTTATTTTGACAAAACATAAAACATCCAAGCCAGCTTCAGTTTTGTTCTATTGCACCAGCCTGATGGAACTTTCAGAATGAATGTTTTGTTTCAAGTTTGGACAAAACATATTTTCCATTTCATGGTCACCCCAAACTTAAATAATGTATTAACTGAAATACACAGATTGGTTAATACAATACTAAGCCTAAGCAAGCCAATCCTGCCATTCCATAAGTATAATTAATACATGACTCTAACACATTTTTCCACTGTCCTTTTATTTTTAGAAGCAGATATTTTTGTTCTTTTAAATATGATGCTTTCCAGATGTGACATCTTCAACTACCAGAATTCCCCATCAGCATAGTTACTGTTGGGAATTTTGAGTGAAACCCCCACATGTAAGAATGGAATTGAGGTTGGAGACTATTTTATTGTTTGCCACAAACTATTATTTTTAAATATGTTACTGTAAGTCACAAGACTTTTATTATAAACCTCATGAAGTAGAAGGGACAATATTTTAGGATTTATATTGTTTTTCTAAAGACTAGAAAAATTGAAATCACGCTGACTTTCCACATTTCAGATACTTCAGCAGCAACATGGGTGCATTTCTCTATAGCCCTAAATTAGAACAAAAAATTCCAACTCTGCCTTCTTCATTGATATCATATCACCATAGATTTTGTAGTCCTGAGGTAAGATAGCTACATAAAATGCTGGAGGTCAAAAATGACTGTCTACCCTTGAAAGGATACTTTGATTTCCAGAATGGATGAATGGCATCAAAGTTGATGAAGTTAGCAGACATGGCTAAAACTCAACTTCATTATATGATAGTATATACTAGCCCCATGGTGGAGAACCTATGGCACGCATGCCAGAGATGGCGCACAGAGCCGTTTCTGTGGGCGCATGCGCTGACACCTCAGCCTAGCTTTATCACGTTTCTCTATTGCGTTTCTCGCCGTCGTTTGCAAGGAAACAAAAGTTTGTGGGGCTAAAAAAAATTTCACTCAATCAATTCCAACTTCTCGCGAAAGAAAAAGATCTCGTGAAGTTGGAATTGATTGCGCGAACTTTTTCACGTGCGTGCTTCACAATGGGGGAGACGGGGTCCCCTCCTCCTGAAGCCCATTGTGGCACGGAGCCACAATGCGACCCTGTGTCCGCTCGGCAAAAAAAAAAAAAAAAATCAGTGGCTTTTCCTGCAGAGATGCCTGTGTTGGGGTGCATTGCCTCCTGCCAGCCAGCTGAACTTTGGCGGGCTGCTCCTGATCTTATTGGTCTACAGATGTTAGATTCCCACCACCCAGCACCAGTTCTGGGGTTCCTTCCTGGGAGAGAGGGGGGAAAGAGGGGGAAAGAGAAAAAGGGAGGGAAAGAGGAAACAGGGGCAGAGAGAGGGGGAGGGAAAGAGAGAGAAACAGAGAGAGGGAAGAGAAAGAGACACGGAGGGAGAGAGGGAGGGAGAGAAAGAGAGAAGGAGGGAGAGAGGCAGATACAGGGGGGAGGGAGAGAAAGAGAGGGGGAGAGAGACAGAGAGAAACAAAGAGGAGGAGGTAAAGAGAGACAGAGAAACAGAAAGAGAGAGAGGAGGGAAAGAGGGGGGGGAAGAGAAATGGTATTACAAACGTTTTTCTTTTTTATTGTTGCTAAACATAATATTTCAAAAGCATCAAAAATGAAGGGGCATAAAAGTCCATTTATCATGCTTTTCTTAGAACAATTAGCTGAACTCTGCCTTGTTTATCACTATTTTAGGTAGTAAAACCTCAATATTCAGGTTAAATTGCTAAGATAGCACTTTGCGATAAATAAGTGGGTTTGGGGTTGCAATTTGGGCACTCGGTCTCTAAAAGGTTTGCCATCACTGTACTAGCCATTTATATAACAACAAACCTATCTAATCAGCAAAATCAAGGTTTCATTTTCTTCCACCTCAAACAGAAAGTTGAAAAGCAGTTTCCAAGTGGAAACAAAATTAATTGCATTCTTTTCTTTAATCAAAGCAGTCAATTTAGCTATTCCTGCTAACTCCATCAACTTTTGCAGCCATTTGTCCATTGTGGGAATCAATTTTTGTGCAAAAAGTATTCTTGCTGCTATCAATATATACAGTATAGCATCAAAAGTAAAATAAAAAAATCAATATATTCATTTTAAAATATTCTGTATTAAGATGTGAATCCTATTCCAATATTTCTTTGTTTTCTCACATGTCCATAATAAATGATAAAAAGTTCCTTCGTTACATTTACATTTCCAACATTCATTCGAAATGCCTTTAGACTCAGCTAAAGAGGAAAAGATTCTCAACGTATGAAAAAACATTTCAGATATGTCAATTGCTGTATTAAGCAATGTTGAAGACCAAGAGAGCAATGATATTTTGTTCACATTCCTTTCTTTCTGCATTTTTTTTGCTGAGAGTTCATGACATATTTTTAACTTTAACTATTTTATTTGACTAATCAGCGTAGGAATATTAAAAGCTGGGGTATAACTGACTTATATGGACTATTTTACAACCATTTACTTTGCCCCATACCAGAAATCAACATTATATTTTTTCCCATTTAAGACATTTCCATGCTTCACTTAATCCAGAAACTAAGCCACAAAGTAGTGTATGTACGTATGTACTTATTTGCCATTTCTAAAGGCATATACAGGGTTGCATTTATTTTGTGTATTTGATATTTAATATATATACTGTACATGTATACATATTAATACAATAATTCACATTCCTTTTTATGCACTTAGTCATATATACATAGTTCTATAGACAAGAACTTACAAGTATAAAATTTTATACTTTTTAAACATGTATTATTTTGCATATAATAGACTTTTCAATAAACATTTTAAATCAAAATCACTTATAATATAAAAATATTCGACTTCTCTTAGTTTATTCAAAGGGAATGATCATTCATCACTTCAACTTCATTTTGAACTTCTATTTTTTCTTTCTTTCATTCAGTCATGTTCAATTCTCACAGACTACATAGACAAGTACCTGTAGCTTTTTGGAAAGGTTTTTCAGAGGTGGCTTGCCATTGTCTCTTTGTAAGGCTGAGAGAAAATGACTGGCCAAAGGTTATCCAGCTGCTTCATGGACAAGATGGGACTAAAACTCATGATTTCCCACTTTCTAACCTATTGTCTTAAATACTACATCAAACTGGCTCTTCAACTTCTATTAGAGCACTTAATTTCTTTGATTGCTTCTTTGCCTAATATAAAATAGGCTAAATGAATTGTTTTATTTAGAACACTTTTTTGGATAAATAATTTTGCAACAGATAATTTTCTTTGGACACAAATCAAATTGTGTAACAA